TCGGCGTGCCATCCAGCACCGGGCTGCGAGCAGCCTGCCACTGTACAACAGCCGAGCGGGACTGCAGCTTGCTCGCGCTCGTTCTGAGGCACCGGCACCTCCAGGTAGTTGACGCGCTGCTTCACCCTCCGCGGCCGGCCAGGCTCCATTTGGGCAGGTGAGAGTGGGTGCAGGGTGGGGGAAGGGTCAGAGGCAGCCTCAGCACCCTCGCCAGGACCAGGTTTGTTGTTGTGTGTGTGACGGGGCATTGGGAGACCCGATCCGTTTGTTTGTATTATTAACAACGAAAGCGCTCTCAAAGAAAAAATCAAAGGCCCATGTACAGTGGGTTGCGGGCATTAAGAAAACGTACCATTAAGAAACCCTGCCAAGCGATTTCCGCGAAAATATAAGAAACCACGGCGCGCCGCAGGCGCGGCCCCGAGAAAAGGCCAGCCAGCCAGACACGAGTGTGAACGGGAGCCCCGCAAATTTCTCTTCGCCTGCGGCGCGCGCACTTGTCACTTTCCAAGTCTGCGGTGTTCTGAGTGGAGTACGAGTGGATGGAGGCTTGTGTGCGTCTTCCCGTCATCCAGAGAGCCGACTCGGCGGCAGACTCTGGCATCGCCCTCGTGGACCGCAGCTTACCTCTTACTTACCTAAAAATCCTTCGGGCCGGCTCTGGCTTGAGTGCCGGCCGGAGCTAAGAAACCACGGCGTGGGGTGGGTGGGTGAGGGCTGTGGAAAGGCTTAGAAACGGCGGCGTGCCGCGGGATCCTGTTTTCTTAATGCCCGCAACCCACTGTACGGGAGTAAGGAGACACCTCCCATCCCTCCCTTTTGGCGGTCTCTGTTTTCTTGCCTTTCTTTCTTAGACTCCTGAAAGCAGAAAGGGCAGCCATAACGAGGTACTAAGCGCTCTGCGTGCACCCCCGTGCAGACTACCCGCGACGGGCCCCCGGGGGCGACGGGGGTGCTCTCGCGGGGGGTCCCCCCAGTCAAGGGGGTTTGGGGCGCAGCCCCAGGTAGCCCGCCGCAGGCGCCGATTTTTTGGGGCTTTTTTGACTGATTTTCATGAGGTGTTGCTACTATTTTGGGACCAGTTGAAGCCTAAAAATGGCTACAAATACAGCCACAGCAGCTGCTAGTCGTGAGCTGCTACTGTGTGGCAGAGCCCAGAGAGAGGGCTTTCAGGAGCACTATTCAGTTTGATCCAGCTCAATGTTGCGGAGTAGTAACACTGTTCCGTTACCGTGAGCGGCCGGCGGCCGGCGGCGGCCGGTGGCGGCACGCGGAGCACTCCGTGAGCGGTGACGGGTGCGGACGAGCGAATGAGAGGTCCCTTTCAGTGAGAGATAGGCATCCCTGGTCTCTAATAACACATCTTCCACAGATAGCGACCTCTCATTCGCTCGTCCGCGCCCGCCACTGCTAGTCGGGACACTCCCGGCGTGCGGCCCGGTCCCGGTCGTCACTCCGGTTGCTCGTGCTCACACCGTCAGAACTCAGCTCCGCTAAGGATCCAGCGTCTGAGACTTGGGCATCTTACACAACTTTTGTAGTAGAGCACAATGGCACCCTTGCATCAAGTGCATCACTTCATTACTAGACCGTACTAGAGGTCCCCGTTTTCGGCCGCCGCGGCCGGAGAGCACCCCCGTCGCCCCCGGGGGCCCGTCGACTACCCAGGACCGCCCCGCGACTCGCCGGCGCAGTACCAGTAGGATTCCTACCTCTGTACGCGTCAGTACTACCTACTACCGCACGGTACCCTGAGCCCTGGTCTGACAGCCTGACAGCAAACCCCGGACAGCGCCTGACAGTGCCCGACAGCCTGACAGCGCTGACAGCACTTTCTCTGACACAGCCTGACAGCACGTATCTGACAGCCTGACAGCAGAGCCTGACAGGCGAGGGGCTCCGTCGGCGTCGCTGTCAGGCCCTAACGTGACAGCCTGACAGCTGCCCGACAGCCCGACAGCACACAGTGGCCTGACAGCAGCGCTGACAGCCCGACAGCAGCACAGACCGTTACACAGACCCCGTAGAGCCTCTTTCTTGTGCCCCATGAGGGTATAACAAAAAACTATTACATGCAAAGACATGCGAGTGTGGTCCATGTAGTCATGGGATGGAAATTGGTCATGTGGATCTCTCTCCCAACCCTCCGCCCCCACCTCTGCGGACCCCTCTCTAGCACCGGCGGCTGTGCTACTACAAATGAAGCTACCAGCTAGCCTTCTGGTGTCGGCGGTCAGTACGACCGATCAGGTCGGAGTTTTTTAATGGTTGGAGGGTCTATCTGTATGACTCCTCGAGATCTCTCCAACGCAAGTCTGCCCTCTACTTAACCGTACTTAATCGGGAAGTTGGTGCTTGTAGAGACTAGTAGAGCCGGGCCCCGTCGTTCCGCACTGCGGCGTGGCGCACGGCGTGCGCGGGGCACGGTGCCTCCGCCCCGCGTCCGCCGCTCCGGGGGCCCCCGCGCCCCCCATGCCCCAAGAGATGAGAGAGGCTCGAGGGACGCTGCTTTTGTCTGCCGCCCTCAAGCCAATGAATTGTAATTCTTGGGCGAAAGAAAATAATCGATGCCGAAGAAGGAACTTCGGCCCTCTCACACACAACCTCGGGGGGGGCGGGGGGGGGGGGGGGGCAGGCTCCCCGGACCGGGGGGGTGCCGCCCGCGCCCCGTTCCACACCGTTGGCCCTCTCACGTCAGCCGTCGCCGGGCGCCGCCGGGCGCTCCGCCCCCGGGCGGTCAAACCCGGGGAGGCGGTGGGCGGCCAAATAAAACAACTCGGTGAGGAAGGGGCTGAAGGCGTCCGGCGCCCCCCCCCGGTAGTCGAAAAGCACGCTCGGCCGCACCACGCGCAGAAGGGACTGGTGCATCTCGGGCACGCGGGGCTGCGACACGTTGGCGAGCGTCGGCATGAGGCCGTCCCGCCCCAACCGGTCGGGCGGGAGGAGGAGGACGGCCCGGTGCCCCTCCATCGTCTGCTTGAAGGGCCACCCCCCCTTTCCAAACTTGAGCGACGGGTAGTAGGGGTCAACCCGGACGGGGATGCAGCCGGCGGCGACAATGTAATAAAAGCGCTGGGTGAAGCCGTCAGAGTCCCCGGGGGGGGCGACGCAAAAGGTGGTGCGCTGCATCCGGCGGATGGTCTCCACCGTCGAGAAGGGCATCGCGTTCTCCTTGCGTGGGTCCGTCTCGTAGAGCTCGATCCTGCGCCGAGGCACACACGGAGCACGCGTCAAGTGGCGGGCGGGAGACGGCGGCGTAGCAACCGCGCGGGAGCGGGCGAGGTCTCTCCTCGGCTGGCTCGGGCAATCTCGGGTAATCTCGGGCAATCTCGGGCAATCTCGGGTAATCTCGGGTAATCTCGGGTAATCTCGGGTAATCTCGGGTAATCTCGGGTCTCTCCTCGGCCGACTCGGGTCGCGGCGGTGCAGCTCCGACGCCTGCGGGGCGGCGGGGAGGCGGCGGGTCTTGCTCGGGCACCACACCGGGCACGGGCGTCACGTCCGTGTCAGACATAGTAGATGGGTGCGTGCTAGTCGACTCCTTCGGTCGGCCGGGACAGGGTTACAAGTGCGGGGTTGGGAGTAACACTGCAGCGGCGAGCGGGCTCCTCGGTGGCACGCGCCGGACCAATCCCCCCCGGCTGCCCGCCCGCCCCCTCCCCGCCCCCGCGCCGCTCGCCTCTCGCAGCTGCCTTGCCACCTCGGAGCGGACCTTGTTCCTGCTCGGCGACGCCATCAGAAAGACTCGCGTGCTGCGCGCGCCGGCGTCCGGCTGCGCGCGGACCAGCTCTCGCGGCAGCGAGGCGAGGTACGGGATGGTGACGTCGAGCCGTGACTTGTTGCGGTAGCCCGCGCCCGTGTGCGCGAGCATCGAGCCGCCGAGCCACTTTGGCATGAACATCGAGTCGAGCGGGAAGAGAAAGAGGTGGCGGTGGGGCCAGCGCGCAAAGTGGGGCAGCGAGTCGCGTGCAAACTTGTCAAAGCTGCCAAAGAAGGCGTGGTGCGCCGGCCCGTTGACCCGCGACATGCCGTGCCCCCACCCGAGCATCGCGTTGCAGCCGAGCAGGAAGGGCACCAGAAAGACGTCGGCGCGCTCGGGCTCGCCGACGAGGGTCGCCACCTGCAGGAGCTTGGAGAAGATGGGCACATCGGTGCAGTGCGACCGCAGGTTCTCCAGGTGCGAGAAGCCCGTGTTTGGGCACGTGTCCTCACGGAGGTAAGCGCAGTTGACGTGCAGCAGCTCGCGGGCGCGACGCTCGACGTACTCGACGACCTGGCCGTGGTAAGCCCATGGGAGGCCGTACACGAAGAGACGCAGCCGCCGGCCGCGCTGCACGTCGCGACGGCACGGCAGCGGCCGCGGACCGGGCGGCAGGAAGCGCTTGAGGGCGGACTCCCGAGCGGCGTCCGCGGTCTGGGCCATGCTCGCAGTCAGGCCGATGCTGCAGGCGGTGCAGTCCAGGCCTTTGCTGCCGCGAAAGCGGCTGCAAAGCTACAAAGAATTTAAACAAGACAACTCTCTCTCACACGTCTACGATTTTGAACGAGTGGGCGGTGCAGGCTGTCTGTTTACAGGCGCCGTCCGCCCGCGCGCGCGCCGACCCAACTCCGAGCACGCTCGCTCGCCGCTGGGCGGCGCGCGTCCACACTGCGTCGGCAACACGACGCAGGAGCTCGCTCACTGCTGCTGCGGCGGCGGCAGCGACGGCGACTGCGAGCTGACGGCTGACGGCTGTACGGCTGTACGGCTGACGGCTGGCGGCCGGCGGCTGCGGCGAACGGCGACGGCTCGGTTCGCGTTCGCCCCGCGACGGTGCGACTGAGCCTGCCACGCTCGATCTGGGAGCCACTCGGCGCCAGTTCGAGCGGCGGTCGGCTCGGCCACTGCGGGTGCGACGCATGATAGAGCTGCTGGGCGCCGCATCGTGTACTACCGACCCACGCCAAGGCGCGGGGCGGTGGTGCTCGCCGGCGCTCGCGGTGCTTCGGTGCTCGAGCGCGCTCAACATTGTGGTCGTTCAGGGCGGCTCGCACAGCGCCCGCAGACACACACACACACACACACACACACACACACACACACACACACACACACACACACACACACACACACACACACACACACACACACACACACACACACACACACACACACGCAAGGGCGAGGACACGCGCAGGGGCCGCACCTCTAGCGAAGCCCACAGAGTGGGAGACTCCTATCACCGCCCTGCCACCCACGTGAGCCTTTTGGCCGCCTCTGTCAGTGTGCCCGTGGTAGTGAGAGACTGCTGGTGAGAAGCCGGAGGAAGGTCGCTAGTCGAGAGAGATCGCCAGTGGAATAGGGAGTCCACCGTGCTGCGAGCCTGTCGCTGTCCCTTGTCAGGAGCAGGAGAACTAGGAGAGCGCAACCAGTAGGAGGCCCGCGCCTGCCCCCGTGCCGCCGGGTGCAACCTGTCCTATACGAGAGAGGAATCCCTGGGACCCTGTCGTGTGGGTGAACCCTGCCCAGCCCCCCTCCGTGTCGCGATGCGCTCCCCGCTCCCGTTCCCCTGTGTCCCTGATCGTCCTTCCAAGATCCTGCTCGTGCAGGTGGGGACCCTGTCCCTCTCCCACCCCTCGTTTGGCGTGCCCGTTTTATTTATTTATTTATAGCACACAGGCTCGACACAGGTGCGAACTGGCGCGTGCTAGTACTATCACCGGCACACAAAGAAATGTTCTAGCTATAAGTTTCTCGTGGTGTGTCGGCCATTCCTCTTTTAGGCCATTCCGGCGTTTGATAGCTACCATTCCATCCCTCGCCTTCTTTCGAGGTCTCGAGATACACAAGGCCAAACTCAAGAGATTTCTTGTTGGCTTCTAAAAATCCAAACCCAGAAAAGAAAGTAACGCGGACCAAAGCTAGGGCTGGGTCGAGGACAGACACGTCCCCACCTTTGCAGGAATTTGCAAGAGCGAGGGGACAGGAAAGAAAGAAAGAAAGAAAACAGACAACCCTAGGGAGGGATGGGAGGACGGCACGCCGCCACCACACAGGGATTTTAAGGAGAGGTGTGTGGTGCGCTAGCCGTCGCCCACCCTGGGGAGTCTGCCTCTTCCTATCTCTCTTCGCAGTCTCTCGCCGCTTCTCGCTGCAACCTTCATGCCACCTCGCGGCCGTCCCACTCTCGTCGTTCTCTCCCTTGTCATTTCCTCCTCTGTCGCGTCGTTCTCTTCTGCCTCGAGGGGACAGGACACCCGTGAATGGCTTAAAACTCCTGCTTTTTTTCGCGAGAGGGCTTCTACACGCGTACAGTGCAGACACATATGTGTGTTTATATGCGGCGCGCCGCCCACAAGACACTCCGGCTGGTGCTCGACGAGCCGCCGCCGGTCGCCGACACAGCGCGCTGCGACGGCCGCGGCGACGCCGAGCTCCGCCGGCTGCTTGTGCGAACAGGCGTGCTTCCCAAGGCGAGCGGCTCCGCCTACGTGGAGATGGGCGAGACCAAGGTGCTGTGCGCCATCTTTGGGCCGCAGCAGGCCGACGGCCACGACTTTCTCAGCCACGGGCGGCTCGAGTGCACCGTCAAGTTTTCCGCGTTTGCGCGCCGCACCACGGACCCGGCCGCCGCCGCGACCGACGCGAGTGCCGCTGCCGCTCTGTCGGCCTCGCTGTCGGCGGCGCTGAGCGGCTCGGTCCAGCTCGACCAGTACCCGAAGAGCCTCATCTGCGTGCACGCCATGGTGCTGCAGGACGGCGGCGGCGCGCTGCCCGCGCTCGTCTCGTGCGGCTCGGCCGCGCTGGCACACGCGCGGCTCAAGCTGTACGGCCTGGTCGCCGCCTGCGGCGCGGCCATTCCTGACGAGGGCAGCGGTCGAGTGCTGCTCGACCCGTCCGCGAGCGAGGAGCGCGCCGCCAGCAGCCGGCTGGTTGCGGCCACCGTGCCGGAGCTGTCGCATCTGCCGCTCTTCGAGCAGGAGGGGCGGGCGCAGTTCGAGGCGGTGGCGGCGGCGCTGCGGCACGCGCTCGGCGGCGCGGCGACTGTGCACGAGCGCATGCGTGAGGCGCTGCTCGCGGAGGGACAGACGGCCTCCTCCGCACGCAAGCGGAGCCGCGGCGGGGGAGGGGCGGTTGACGCGGCGGCTTGAGACACACTGAGGTTTCGCTATGGCGATATCAGCTTGACGCGAGACGTTACACGGACAAAAATGACACCGCCGCGCGCAAAGCAGACGGAAAACCGTGGCTCGGACGTTGGACCACGCACCAATCACCCCACCCCAACCCCGGCCCATCACGACAATCGACATGACAAAAATCGACACGCACACGCGAGAGACCACCCCGCGCGATAATGCGGCAGGCAGACCGAGACGCCCCGCCCAGGGTCGCCACAGCGGACGGCCGACCCTCCTCTATCCTCGGTACCGTTTTGTCCCCTCCCCCCCCCGCCGCTTGGTTTGTCCCCCCCCCCCCCCCCGCCCCCTCTCTCTGTCTCGGTCTACACGGACTAGGTCGTCGGGGAGCGCGCCACACCACCGCAACACACTCCTGAATGGCGTTGTCGGTTGTGTGTAAACCACTCACGACCTCTCAAAGATCAGCTCGAGCCGTTCCAGCTTGAGCTGTTGCTGCTGCACTTGCACCTACAAAGGACCTCTTTCGATCAGAGAGCTCTGAGAGCGGCTCCGCATATACAACAAGCGATGGCGAGGAAGCATCTAGCGTGACGCCTGCAGCAGCTCGTTAGACCGTCGCAGCGACTCACTTGAGTTGCGCAGCCTCTCATTCTCGAGCCGCAGCGCCGCCAGCTCGTGCTGCTCCGAGCGAGAGCAGCTTCCGCCGCCGCCCGCCCCTCCGCCCGCCCCTCCGCCAATCCCAGCGCCCCTGCCCGCATCGCCACGGGAGGACGAGGTGCCGGCCCACGCGGCGGCAAAAGGAGCAGCACTCTCCACCGCCACCACCGCGCCGGGCGCCTCATCTGACGCCGGCGCCGCCGACTCGGGGCTGGGCTCGCTGGGACGCGCGGCGTGCTCGCTCGAAAACCCGCGCGGGGCCGCACTCGCCGCGGCAAGGCGGCGGCCGAGGTCGGCGTTCTCCTCCTGCAGCGCCCGCATCGACGCCTGCAACTGCTGCAGCTGCAGACCTTGCGCGTCCACTTGCACCGTCGGCCGGTTCTGGATATTCTTCGCGCGCGAGGCAAAGAGGAGCGTGTTGGCCGTCTCCTCGAGCATGTGCAGGGAAGGGGACACGCAAGCGAGCATGAGCGTTCGGCCGTCGCCACCAAGGGAGTCCATGAGCAGCTTCGTCAGCTTCGAGTCGCGGTACGGGATGTGGCCTTGCCGTCTGCGCGCGTCGGATAGCGAGGAGATGACGTTGCCGAGCGCAAAGAGCGAGCGGTTGATGTGCCCCGTCTCGGAGGCCATCGCACCCTCGGAGCACGAGTCCTTGAGCCGCTCCGAGCCAGCGAGGTCGACCAGCGAGATGCGTCCGGTGCAGCCCGTGTTCGCGTCCTTTAGGTGCAGCGTCATGAGGCAATGCGAGCGCGACGAGTCCTTGTTGAGCTGGTGGCTCGACACCTTGCGATTACGCGTCCCCTCAGCCAGCACGGCCATCGCGTCGCCGAGCGACTCGCATTCAACCTGCAGCAGGTTCTGCACGAACGGCCCGAGCCGCGCCTCGTGTCTCAGCTGCAGGTTGACCGACGCCGGATTGAGGAGGTCGTTGAGCTGCTCATTGTAGATCTCGAGGTAAGACGCGCTGACGGTGACGCCCGCGTGCTCCCGCCCGTGGGCCGTGAGCTCAAAGAGATCGGACAGCACCCGTGGAATCAGGCCGTGCGGCCCATCGTCCAGGGACGCGGCCGCGGCCTCCCTCCCATAGTCGATCGAGTCGGGGCCAGTCATCGTGAAGGTCTTTCCGGACCCTGTCTGGCCATACGCAAAGATGGTCACGGAGTAGCCACTTAGGGCGTCCATAAGCAGATTTCCCGCACGAGCGGCCTGGAAGACAGGCGCCTGCGCGGAGCCCGCAAGGCAGGCGTCGACCGTCAGTGAGCGCAGTGTGGTCAAGCCGTGGCTGCGGTCCATGACGCCGCGGGAGCCCCTCGCGTGCCCCTCGTCCATCCACTGAACGGTGCAGCCGTCATCGGCGCAGTAGACGCACTCGACATCGCCGCGGGCTCGCTCGTCGTGAGAGAGGGGCCGCACGCGCACAACCACCTGGATGCTCTCGGAGCCGCCTGCTGGCGAGCTCGAAGATGGCCCCGGCCGAGAGTGGCCGTATGGGCTCGCCGAACGCGAAGGCGCAGCGGAGAGCGGGCTCTCGGCGCCAGGGGCGAATGCCCGTGCGCTGGGCGGCGAAATCATGCCATTGGGGACCGAGGTGGGCAGGAGCCCTCCCCGGCCGCCCATTTTCTGCGACGCCCCGCGCAAGCGTTTATCGTTACAGTCTGTTGCGGGCATTAAGAAAGCGTCCCATTAAGAAACCCTACCAAGCAATTTCCGCGAAAGTCTAAGAAACCACGGCGCGCCGCAGGCGCGGCCCCAAGAAAGGGCCCACACACGAGTGTGTGCACAGGAGCCCCGCTCAAACTTTCTCTTCGCCTGCGGCGCGCGCACTTGTCATTTTGCCCAAGTCTGCGGTGTTCTGGGCGGTGTGGATGGAGGTGTGTGCGTCTTCCTGTCATCCCAAGACTGCTGACTGGCGCATCGGTCCAGCGCTTCCTTATTGTCATTTTACCTAAAAATTCCTAGATCCCGGCTGACCTCGTGACCTGGGGTGCCGGCCGAAGCTAAGAAACCACGGCGTGGGGTGGGTGGGGTGGGTGGAAAGGCTTAGAAACGGCGGCGTGCCGCGGGATCCTGTTTTCTTAATGCCCGCAACAGACTGTACGAACACTGGGTTGAACCCTTGATGTGGTGATCTGTGATCTGTGAGGGTCCGCCCGCAGGCGCATTTTGTATACCGAGGCGGTGCCCGGTGGCGGTGCCGAACCTGTCGGACCTTGAGACAGCATTGTAGATCCCTGGGCGAGGGTGATGGCGTCCCCGTCGGGTCAGGACCTTCTACCTGCTTCTGCCCTCTCCGGCCGTCACGCCGTCCGCACCGCTCTGAGAGAGCAGCCTGCGCGGCGACCAGCTCCCGCGCGAGACCGACATCGGCGGCGCGGCGGGGAGGGGGGTCGCCACCGGCGGCGAGGAGAGCGGCGTCGAGGGGGGCGGCGGCGAGGCTGTGGTTCTGTACATCACATTGACACACACACGTACAGCTAAGCTAGCACGTACAGCTAAGCTACGACGTCATATGCATATGTGCATTGGCATAGACAGAGACAAGAGGCAGAGACAGTGGCCCACTGGAGGGTAGAGACAGGGGCATGGGCAGAGGCAGATACATACCAGGTCAGAGACAGAGACAGGGACAGGCCAGCGCCGACCAGCCTCCGTTGTGCACACTCAAAGCCGTAGCTCGCCTCCGCCTCGCCTTCACCGACCTCGGCCAGCGCGCTGCTGCTCGCACACGCGCGCTCTACACAGCCGTTGGCACACGTGGGTAAAACATGTTGACGCCCTGGTCCGAGTACGAGGCGGGCGGAAGCGGCTTGTTTGGCCCCGGCTGCGCGATGCTTGCGGGGTCGGCTGCAATCGCAGTCGCGCAGATGGAGTACAGGTCCATGTCCTTGAAGCGCGCCCAGACGTCCCTCGGCACCATGCGGAGGCAGTCCTGCTCCCTCACGCCGATGTTATAGACGAGCGTCGACACCATCCGAAACATGCTCTGCGTCATGAACGAGCGCTCCGGGTCGTACTCGCCCTTCACCGGAGCATTGTAGCCCACGTAGAGGTCGATATCGTCCGGGTGCTCGTAGACGGCGGCGAGCTTGGCGTCCCACGGTGCGGCAAACTGGTCGAAGCTGGTGATGGGAGGGAGGTGGATTGCTGCGCGCACCTGGTTGAACGACCCCACGCGCTGCCCGCGGCTGCGCTCGACAACCTTCATCTCAAAGTTGAGGAGGTAGGAGGGGGTGTTGCCGAGGGTCTGGAGCGAGGATGGCGCGACTTGCGCCGCGTGCAAAAGCTCGCGCAGCGTCGGGCCCGTCGCGGCGTCGGTCCAGTTGCCGGGCTTGGCGATCCACTTCTCGGAATACGACCCGAGCGGGCCGAGCTCCTCTGGCGGCATGGCGTGCCACATGTACGACGTTTCGTACTCGAGACCCGCCGAGGCGCCCGTGAACAAGTCGCCTGTCAGATGCTTGGCCACGTTCAGGCCGGCGACCATCGGCGAGTAGCGGTTGAGCGGAACGTTGAGGGCCGCGACCTGAGCGTTGACCTCGCGCACAGTGCCGCCGTTGAGGAAGCCGACGTACTCGCGACGGACCACCTGAAAGAAGAGGAAGGTGAGGAGCTGCTTCGTGCTCTCGAAGATCCGGGGCCCGTCAAACTCGGGGTGCATCTTGCGAATCTCGACCGCCAGCACGTTGTGCACCGACTGGGCGCAAGAGAGCATGAAGTACATCCCCACGTGCACGTTCGTGTGGTTGCTGCCCGAAGCCCAGACGTTGGCTTTGAGCTTGCCGAACTTCAACGGCGGGCGTGAGAGGGGCGTGAGAGGGGGAGCGGCGGGCGTGAGACAGAGACAGAGACAGAGACAGAGACAGAGACAGAGACAGAGTCGAGGGGCGTGAGAGGGGGAGCGGCGGGCGTGAGAGGGGCGTGAGAGGGGTATGAGAGGGGCGAGGAGGTGGGCGAGCGAACACGGGCGAGCGTGTGGCGTGTGTGAGGGTGAGGCATGCCTTGAGCGTGTCGCTAGACTCCGGGGAGAAGGGGCCATTGTCGGCGTCCATGTATCGCAGCGGCCTGCCCGAGGAGTTGACGCGGACGGTGCCATCCTCCTTGTTCATCAGAAAGGCCTGCTGCTCCTTGGTTTGCCCGTACACGAACCCCATGTCGAAGTCGCCCGAGAAGTTGCGGGTGTAGTGCTCGCCGTCGGTCAGCACGCCGGACTGGAACCAAGTGGCGATGAAGAAATTGACCGTCCACATGGCGAGCACATTCGTGCGCGGGTTCTGCGGGGCCGGCCCGGCCGGCCACAGCGGCGGAGAGTCTCCCGTGGGCGGGACGCCGGGGCCCGTCACGCCAGCCTCCTCCAAGCACTGCGCCCACGGCGCGGCGTTCTCACTCTCGGGGTCGCCTCGATCAAACAGAGTCTTGACCTTCTCCGGCGCTGGGAGCCGCCCGCCATCCCCTGCCCGCTCAGGCGTGCGCGCGCCGCGGGTCCAGTCGAACCACTCCTCCTTCGCCTACGGCCAAGGACGAGGCACATCGGAGCGACGCTGCTCGACCGCGACGGCATCATCACGACCTAGCACGCACCAGCTTGTTTAGCGTGTAGACCCACGGCGTGATAGCGGGCCAGCTGGGGTTCGCAGTCAGCGGGTACCAGAAACGGCCAGCGGCGAGCACGCCGGTGTACATGGTCAAGTAAGGCATGTAACGTGCAGAGACGTGGTGGATGAGGGATGGCGGTATCACGAGGGTGAAGAAGTCCCAGAGCCGGTCGTTTGGATCGCCGCAACAGCACGCGCACTTTATTACGGCGTCGCAAATCAGCGTCACCGGCGTGCAGCAGAAAAGTCCACCCGGGCAGCAGCCAGCGGCGCAGGCAATGCCGACCGGCAACTCGAAGAGGCAGTTCATGCAGCAGCAGCACGCCGCATCGCACGGGCGACACAGAGAAGGGCAGCTATCAGGCGGGTAGTGCGAGTACTCTTCCTGGCGCGTCATCTCCGCCTGCTTGGGCGCCTCTATGCGACGCTCCTCCCGCTTCTGCTTGACGTAGCCCGCGGGCGGACGCGGGACATTTGGTCGCGCGATCGCCATCGCGCGCGGCCGCGCCGTTTATAGTCGATAGTTCGATAGTTCGAGCGCGTCCGAGAGGTTGTTTTGGATCTGCGAGTGCGCAGGCGGCGGCGGCGCGGGGCGAGCGTCAGCAGCATAAAATGGGATGAGCACGGCGCGGGCTTGTTTTGGGGGTCGCGGGGGCGCAGTAGGCACGGAGGCGACCCGCGGCTCAGCAGCGCTCCGACCGCGATCCGATTGTGCCAGATTCGCCTCGATACTCGGATCGAGCCGCTCGCACGGCGGTCGCAGCACGGCGTGCAGCCAGGCACGGGCTCGCTGCAGTGGTGGTTGTGGGGCGAGGCGAGAGGGCACGCGCGGGGGCAGCTCTCATAGAGGGCACGCGCGGGGCAGCTCTCATCTCGCGCCGCGTCGCGCCGGTCGAGGGGCGAGATGAGAGGCAACCAAAGTAGGGATGCCCCCCCGGCAACCGCCCGGCAACCGTGTTGTGATGAGGCGTGATTACCCGATCCCCGACCTGCCCCGGGTGTGAAACCCACACTGCCTCTCACAGCAGACTGGCTCGGACTGGCACCAAAAGGCACGGAAGGTCGGCAGGCGACGGCCCCTTACGGGCCGTCGAAGAGGCCGGCGTACTCTTCCGGCCGACCCCCCTCCCCAATCCTCCCCGGGCTCGGGCTCCTCCTCCTTCGCTAGCGCCCTCGCCCCCCGCCGGCGGTGATTCCGTGCCCCCTCCCCGCCCCCCGTTTACAACCAAACTCCCTCGCACGACACCGGGCATAAGAAGCGGCGCAACGAGCTGGCTGCTGCCGACAAACACTGCAGTTGTATTTGCTACCTCACGCGCTCCGTCGCCACCTTAATTAATAACACCTTGAGCTCTCTGCCCCTCGAGCCCGGATCGGCTGCCACCAGCACTCGAGATGGCCGGACTACCGATCGTCATCCCCCCCTACATCCCCTTTTGCTCGCTCTGCATCCCTGCGCGTGGCTATGCTGTGTGTGTGCGGTCCCTCGAAGGGTAGGTAGGCCAGCCGGGCATCGATGGACGACATGGATGTCAGCAAGCAGTGAGCGGGGGCAGGGGCGGCTCAGGATCACAGACATCCCTCTCAGGATCACAGCACTGGCGGGGGCGCGCCTCAGGATCAAGCACCCACGGCAGGGTCTGTGGGGATCAGCAGACCTTGAGGGGGCGCGCTGAGGATCATAGGCCTGAGAGGGGTGCTGTCAAGATCACAGGGCTGCAAAGGGTGGCACTCGAGATCAGAGCGCCAAAATAGGTGCAATACAGATCAGCGGCCGTAAGTGGGCGCAATACAGATCACGAGCGCCGGAACGGGTGCAATGTAGATCATGAGGGTTTTGTGGTCTGTGCGCGGACGGCCCGGGGAGCCTGCGGCGCTATTTTAACCTGCCCCGACAGAGTCTCTCGATACGGCGCGCGGCGGCGCCGCACCCAGCAAGCTGGGACCGCTCCTTACGGACTCGTCGCTGCGCTCCTCAAGGCAAACACGGAGCGCGCTGCGCGTGCGGTCTACGCCGAATACTGCGGCCGCCGTCACGACTGCCATCCTCGGCGGCGCCGAGCGCGCGAGCGGCGCCGATGGCCAGCCCGGCGCCACCTCCCAGCGACAAGCGCATGAGCGACAGGACGCGCATGAGCCGGTCCAGCGCACGTGATTGGGCGCGCGACGGTTTGAGCACGGGGGGGGGGTCATAACAAACACGGTACAGGATCGAGGTGCACGCTGCCGAAGCAGTGTCGTCCCCCCTCTCCCCGACGGTGATAGCGGTGTGACCGACCGAGCTACAAGAGGAACTTGTTCTGCAGGATCCGGGATAGTCAGACGCACTACCTCACTGGGCCTGAGACCGCCCACGACGTTTCCCATCACCGTCTCGGGTTTGTGGGGATTCGAACCACTCCGGAATGGGCAGGCCCATCGATTGAATCATTGTTTTCCACCTGTGGAGAGAGAGAGAAGGGGGGGGGGGGGTGGGGGGGGGGGCTCCTTCACCTCTTTCTCACGTGGGCAGAGGCCCTGGGGCGTTGGGGGGGGTGGGGGGGGGCCAAGGGGGGGGGGGGGGGGGCCCCCCCCTTCCACCGGGGGTTTTTCCCTCTCCAAAAACTGAAAAAAAGACCCCTCGGGCACCCCCCCTTGGGGGAGGG